CGGGGGGGGGGGGAGAGAGCTGAGATCCACAGATGGGGGGAGGAAGGGACCACATTCGGCTCAGCTGGGCTCCTGAGGGCGGGCTGTGCAGTGCAGACCTGGGGCTGCGGGGCCTCGGACGTCCTGTCTCAGGGTGGGGGCCTGGGGCATGGGGCATGTGGGCACGGGGCACTCACCGGCTCCCCGGGCACGCCGTGGTCCCCCTTCTCTCCTTTCGCTCAGGGTGGGGGCCTGGGGCGTGTGGGCACGGGGCACTCACCGGCTCCCCGGGCACGCCGTGGTCCCCCTTCTCTCCTTTCGGTCCTTGCTCTCCCTGTTGGTGGGGAAGCACCAGGTAGGGCAGACCCAGGGCCCCCTGCCCTCTGCGTGCACCTGCCCCGCCCCCACCAAGGCGGCTCCTCCCGCTCCGCTCTGACAGATTCTCACTCATCCTTCAGACCTCAGGTCAAAAATGGCCCCTCGGGGTAACTGAACCCCCGGCGGGCCACGCCCTCCATGGGGCAGCTCTGGTGGCAGGTCTACACTCACCTGTGTGGCTTCACCTGCCCCTCCCACCCAGAGCCCGGCAAGACCAACGGGAACTGCTGCAAAGAGTGCCCAGGGCCCCGGCTGCTCGGGGAGCTGCGTTCTAGCATCTGCGTCAGGGAGCCTGGGCGGCCGGTCAACCGTCCATCAGGCTCTGCTGTCCTCTGAACAGCTCTCTCAGGCCCATCCTCTCACTGCCCCCTCCCCGGTCCCCGTTACTGCCAACTCCCTGGCAGGTGCCTCACCCGGCCACTCTTGTCCCCCCCACACATGATCCCGCTCCCTCCACACCCCCAGCGCCCGCGTGGAGGGAAGAGGGAGGTTACCCCCGAGGGTCTGCCCTTGGCCTGGGCCTGGGGGAGGTGACCTCCAGGCCCCTGGACACGGAGCCTGCTCCTCACACGGCCTGTTCCCACGGCTGCCAGCACGAGCTGGCCGTGACTGGCATGGTGGGCAGAGCCAGGACCCAGCTGAGTCCCAGCCCCCAGAGCACCCGGCGGGTCACAGACAAGGGCCCCAAGGAGCCGCTCTACTTACTGGCATCCTGGGGTGCGGGGTGAAGAAGGAAGGCTGGAAGGAACGAGAGAAACGAGAGACGTGAATCCGTGCTGAAACCTGCCCTGAGGGACTGAGCCCAGGACACAGCCGCCGCGCGTCCTTCATGACCAGCCCTGACCATTAGAACCACGTTTCCCTCAGGCCCCTGCACTGTGGTTAAGGCAGGAAAGCACAGTGGTTAGATGCCAGAATCCTGGCGTCACAGGGTCTGAGCTCAAGCCTGGCACCCCACCTAAAACCCACGTGACCTCTGACACCTGCCAGCGTCTGCGTCCTCAGCAGTAACACGGGGATGAAACATCCTCCTCTCAGGGTGTGTTGGGGGCGGGGGGCCGAACCTGTGCGTGTAATAGAGCCGCGCCCGGACACTGGATCATTGTAGAGAGCGGCTACAGCGTTTGGACAGGTTCAAGCCTGGGACTGATGAGAGGGCACGATCCTCTCGTGGCAAAGCCACGTGCAAGTCCCAGTACAATGATAGCCAAAGGCTATGGTTGTGAGCTTGACCTTATGGCCTGAACCTGTGGGCCCACGTGCTGAGTGGTGTGGGCTGCGGGAGGTGCAGCAAGTAAACAAAGCTTGACCAGGTGCATGTAATTGAGTGGATTCGAAACCTGCGAGAACATTGTAAACATCTTGACCTCGCCCTTGCTTTGCCTTGTGGAATCTGCTATAAAATAAAGACTCGGCTTGCAGGCTGTGGTGCTCCACCTGGCCCCAGTTTTCCTCTCTTGTCTGTCTTCTTTAATCCTTCACCGCCCGCCTCAGGCTCACCCATGGCTGTGCCGGCTCAGCACATATGGTGCCCAACCTGGGGCTGAGTATGGGGACCTGGGCCGGCTCGGCACAAACCGTCACTGCGTGCTTCCCGCCGTCAGCGTCTCGCGCAGGGACCAGGTGATGTGGGAACCAGGGCGTGGGCTCGGCCTCTGGGCACAGAGCCCAGCTCATGCAGACTCTCTATCTCCGCAGGGAGAGACCCCCGGACTAAGGCAGGGCCTCCGCCTCGCCCGCCCATGCTGCACTCACACCCCCGTCATCCCCCGGGTCATGTATCCTCCAGCCTCCAAGCTTCCATACGCCCTCCCCCTCCACGAACACCCTCCGCTCCCCCTTTATCCAACGAACCACGGCCCAGCCTTCAGGCTCTTTTGAAAGTTAAGACACAAAGACCCCCTTCCCCTCTGACCCTCCAATACAGGTCAGGCCCCTCGTCGCTCCCCGAAGCACCCTGGTCTCTGACAGCATCACTGTGACCCGTGCTCTAGGCTCATCAGGCTGCTCTGTGGCTGCAGTGTCTCCCTCTGACTATGCAATGCCTGGCTTACCCCACGTGCCCATGGCTTCTTGTCTCTGGGCCTCGGTTTCCCCACTGTGCCAGGTGGGTGTGTGTTCTCAGGGCCTGGCCAGTGTTCTGATACGTGGCAATGTGCTTGCTGGGCAGGATAAAAGGGTGGGCACAGGTGGACCCTGGAGGCTGACAAGGATTTTTGGACTAAAACCGTGGAGTAGGTCCAGCTGCTGGTAATCTATTGAAAAGATGTTGATAACCAAGTGGTGTGTGGAGGGGGAGGGGTGACGGGGCATCCCGATGCCTTAGGAATTGAAAGGTTAGAAGCAGAGACGCTTACTGTTCCGGGCAATCCCGGGGGGCCGGCTGGACCAGCTTCACCCTGATGGAGAAACAAAGCACGTGACCAGCCATCCCGCCGACTCCGCCTGTCCTGGGACACCTGTCCCCCCAGGCCTGGGGCAATGGATGGACAGACAGACGGACACACAGATTCCCAATCATAAAACACGCAGACACATAACACCTTGCATTTGAGAAGCATCCCTGCTGATAGGATCAACTATTGATCCCTGGCATCACCTTCAACCGCACCCAGCGTGGCAGCCACGCCCGGGCACTGTGCCCGCAGCACCAGGCCTCCCGCTTGCTCCCTTAGAGACCCCCCTGGGGCCCTGCCCCACCCCTTTAAGGGGACCCCGCCCCACCCCTTTAAGGGGACCCCAGGGGACAATGTGACATCCCTGTAAACAATTCGGGCTTGAACCTTCCGAGCCTGAACCCCAACTCTCCCATTTATGCATCATTTCAGCTCTTGGGGTCAGAGCACCTCTGGCTCTCCCACCAGGAGGCAAGGCTGGGCTGCGAAGGGCCCCTGTGCCTGGAGTGCATGTGACAGACCTGGGGTCCAACCCCCACCCCAGGAGCCGGTGAAGTAGCCCCAGGTGCCCAGGCTCCACACTCACCGAGGGCAGTAGGCAGGTGGTGGGAGGCAGGAGGCGGGAGGCAGGTGGTGGGAGGTGGGAGGTGGGAGGGGGGAGGCT